TGCCCGACGCAGAGGTGGACATGATTAGTGTTGAAGCCGCGGTGGGTCAACGGAACCTGCGGGTTAGGGTTTAGGGTTTTTGGGTTTGTAGGTATGGTGTAGGGCTTACACCCTAAACCCTACACCTTAAACCCAAAACCCTAAAGAATTTATGTTTATTCTGAGCTTGATGTTGTTCTTATGGCTCATGATGCCCAAAAGGAGGCCACAATCATATGCTTTAGTTGGGAGTGTGGTGCGCCCCCCTCAGGAATATCAACGCATAACATCCCCGCATATATCCCTACAAAGCCCCGTTGATCCCTTGTTCTTAATTCCCGTATATAGCCCTATATGAGCTACAGTCAGTATTACCCAGATAATCAATGGACATGGGGTGCTTATTTAAGGTATATACTAGTGACTGACCACAAAAGATACCCTATGTCCGCACTGAATGGCGCCTTGGTAAGCCTAACATTGACAATAGCTCATAAAACCCCTATACAACCCTATATATAACCCTATATAACCCTGTATAACCCTATAATCCTATATGACCCGATGTAAGCCTATAACCCTATACAACCCCATAATCCTACATAAGCCTATATAACACGATATAACCCTATGTAAACCTAAATAACCATGTACAACCCTATAATCCCATATAACCCTATAGAACACTATGTGGCACCCCCTTTTGAAAAATGACCCACCTGACAGGAGGCTGCAGCCCCAAGGGCGCTTGTGATGCCGGGCACCACTTCGCACGGCACCTGCGCTTAACCGGCCGGAGTATATGAGCTATGGTCTAAACTCCTTAAAGGGTCGTTATATAGGGGATTATATAGGGGACTACTATAGGGGTTATTAAGGGGGATACTAGAAGTTTAGAGTATAGCACATATAGGGATTATAGGGATTTGTATAGGGTTTATATAAGGACTATGGGAGACATATTAGGGTTATATAGGGATAATGGAAAAGAAAATATAAACTACTACACTATACTAGGGGATATAGGGATAATGGAAAAGAACATGAAAACTACTATTTAGGGGAAGCTACCCCTTGGGGTAACATTAGGTTTATATTGGGGTCATATATTAATGTATACCTATCTATCTATCTATGTTTTTTGTGGGGCGGGGGGTGGGGGGTGGGGGGTGGGGGCGGTGGTTCTCTTGGGGAAACGATCCAACGCGACTAGGGCTTATGCAGGCTTTAGGGGTAAGCGTTTAGTATTTGAGGGTTGGGCTTGGGGTCTAGGGTTTAGGGGTTAATAATCAGCTTTCAGGACTGTTGCAGGGCTTGAAGCGATGTAGCTCGTATCGTAGTAGACTCGGGCCTGGCAGTTGCGGTTTGGGGCTAAGAGGCTACTCTTGGTGGGGGTATTCTGGCGCTTGATGGCAACCCTAAACCCTACACCCTGAAGCGCGTCAGTCTGCCATAGATCCCAAAGCTCATTGAAGCTCTGTTCGGAAGCTCTAGCTGATTACTATCACGATCACATGAATTTCTTCTATACAATGGTCATAGTGAGTCATAGTGGTCCCCTGTCAACATCAAATGAACGGGATCTCTTCATTCACTTGCAGGCTTCTGGTCTGAAGTGGAGATCCTATGAATAGAAAATGCATGATGGGATGAGAGCTTGAGAACTCCGGAAAACGGGGTCTCATGTTTGGCAGACCTCAGGGAATCTCAGAAAGCCTTAAAGAAGACCCTAAACCCTAAACCCTAAACCCTAAGCCTTTTCAGAGTTTCACAGGAGGCTGAAGCTGAACCCTAACCCTGGCATTGCCTAAAGCAGAAGAGCATGCAGTCCGCACTCAGCTACTACTAAAGTAGTTGGTGCACGGCTCATATT